TTCTTAACTTTGGGGAACTAAAATCTTAATGTAAATTAGGGTCCAACAACTATCAATCACAAAAACAGAAACTTTGGGAAAATAGGAATAGTAGAAATTCTAGTCAGGGCAGGCAATTACATAACAGGTCAATCTGGATGTTTTCAAGGTTATTATGAAGGAAGAACCATTATCCCCTGAAAGGCATCAAACCAGGAAACCATTTAACTCCTGTCAATTTATTCTTCCAAAGATCTTTCAGATTTGCTCTTCTCTTTCCATTTCTATAGATACCTTTATCACCTCATACCTGGACCACTGTCATAGTCCAGATGGTTTCTCTGCCTCCATTCCATCCACATTCCAATCCATTTTCCATATTATTGCCAGATTAATCTTCTTAAAACACTTCAGTTATGTCACTCTCCTGTCTAAATACTAGCTTAAATGTCACCATATTTATAACGTATTCCCAGCTCTCTTAGGAAGAGTAACTGCCCACTTAGTGTCTTCCCAGGCCTTTCTATGTATATACTTATTACTGAACTTTCAAGTTATTCAACAATAATTTGCCCAATTTTGTTTTGCCATTTTCAGTGAGATACTTAAAGAGAAGACACAAGGTTTAGCTTATCCCTTTTCAATGAAGAGTTCATATAGTAGGGCCCATATCAAGACTATCATATGTATTGCTCACTGTACCTACCTTGCTCTCTCCTTCATTCTTTATACTTACTCTCCAGGTTTCAGATTAAACATTAATTTACTGAAAAACCTTCCCTAACATTATCATTAACTAATTATTTGAAAATACATTCTTTATTAGGTTGGTTGTATAATGTAAATATATATTTAAATATTATATAGTACTCTGTAATTAAATTATGTACAATTTTATATTTGTATGTATAATTGAAAGTAAATTTAATTTGAAAATAAATTAAAATTTAGTTGATCAATTAAACACTCATTAGATACATAAATAGTATCCAGCATTGTTTCCATCCAACCTTTGCTGAATGTCAGTGAATAAAAAAGATATAAATTCTTGCTTTCTTAGCTACATAAAACTTTTATGCCTAAGAACCATGTAATTGTGTTACAATAAAACTGAAAAAAATCATAATTTACATTTAAAATTTTGACAATTTTATACAATATATTATTATCAATTTCACCTCATATCACTATTTCTTCCTACTTGAACACTCCTGCTGAATTCCTTCTTCATCTCAACTAGTTATCCTACTTTCATGTCGTTTTCTTTTTTTGGTACATGTTTTATTCAGATAGACATGGCTACTGTGTTTTCATAACTGAAATGGCAACATCATATCCAGAAGAAAGTGTTTCATAATGTTCCTTCCCATCCTTTGACTCTCATAATCTTTCTGCCTCCTCTTACATGATGTTCTCTGGGACTTGAAGTTGATATGGATGTCTTGTTTAGGGCTAAATATCAGATAATCAATTATTCTCTGCATTTTGATTAGTTAAGGGTCTCTTCATTAGCTGCTTCCCACTAACAAAAGGAGCTTCTCTGATACAGGCTGAGAGCAAAACACTTGTCTCTGGATATAAATGTAAGTACTCAGAAGGCAGTTTCAAAACATGTCCAATTAGTAAAATATTTGTAGTAAGTTCTTCCTAGGGCTTATGACCTCCCCAACAATAGGATTTTGACCAAGTTTACAGTACTAGACATGTGGAGAAGGTCTCAGTTCTACTCAGAAAGCAGTCATTGTCTCCATCATCATTATGCTACTATTGCACCAGTGGACAATTCTTTCTGGCAGGTAAGTACTGTAAAATGCAGTGTCCACATCTGGGTAAAACTGTTAACTATTTCCTCCAGCAGCTTGAATAGGATCTTCTGTCACTATGAAAGCTACCTAGTAGGATAGAAGCATCCAGCTCTGTTCCAGATTGACTTATTTATGTCCTGTAACCAAGTGTATTGCTTCTTCAGCAATATTGTCTTAAACTCTAGTTCTAATGGGTAACCAAGAGTGACAACAGTAGCCCATATTGTTTTGGGAGTCACTGGAGGCCTCTCTGGTTAATAACTCAGAGAAAAGCATTTTGTGCCTGACATTGGAATTTTCACTAATAACCATGGCTTCTGGGAGTAGCACTATCCACTCATGCAGAGTATCTTGCAGCATGAATAATAAAAACCCAGAGATAGATATTGGGGTTCAAGCTGAAGATCAGAAAAGCAAAGCAGCAAGCAATGAGCTCTTACCTCTACCTCAGACCAAAATGGCTGATCCTGTCTCCATGAATCCTCACAGGTAATTCTCTCCACAAATCCTCACAGGGAACTGCTCTGAGTTCCTGTCTCCTTCTACCTTATATTGCTTTCTCTGCACAGTCATATCACTTCTGCCTCTAACTCCCTAGTGTTGGGATTAAAGGTATATGATACCAAGTGCTGGGATTAAAGGCATGAACTCTGTTGCTCCTTTGGGCTGATTCACTCTTGTATAGCCCAGAGTGGTCTTGGACTCACAGAGATCCATCTGGAATTAAAGGTGTGTACCACCACTGCCTGGATTCTATGACTTGAGACTTTCTTTGCATTCTGAACCCTCAGGCAAGATTTATTAAATCATAAATAACATATCACCAAAATTCCCCCTTTTTGTCTAATATAAAAAGGAAGAGTACAACTAACATAAAAACTATATACAATAAGCATATACATTATATACAGGCAATAAGTACATTGTCAATGTCTAGGCTATCTGCATCTGACAAATTCAGAGAAAACACTCCATTATCTGTCCTATCTTGGTGAGTCCAAACTCTTGTACCTAATTTACTTTCTATTCTAATTTGTATTAACAAATTATCTTTTAATGTTTCTCAACCTTTCACACTTTACACATTTAGAGAGTTTCTTTTCTGAGTCTGGTAAACAAGGAAAACTATAACTATACTATTTAGTCTTCAACTCCCTCAGAGACCCAAGAAGGAAATAATACTAACTGAGTAAACAGGAAGTGCAAGCAAGTGACTTCCAAAAAATGTGAGAAATGACAAAAACAGTTGGCTACCTAGACGATCACCCAAGGTTCTTCTGAAATGTTGGAGCATCCATCTTTGACCTATAGGCCTAGCATATCTGACAGACTTTTCTGTGAGGCAGAAGGACTGTCCCATCTTGTCTTGGCAAGGTTTGCAGTCATTCTCATTTGTATCCTATTTGTCCAATTTGGACAGCATACTATCAGCAGTCAAGGTAAAGGGACTTTCTTGCCCAGTGATTTACTTTTGCCACAAAGAAAGTAAACTCCATGTGAAATTTCTTTGATGTCCATCACCTTCTCTGAAGTAGATTGGTGCTGCCAGGAGCAGACATGTCTCATTGTCATTAAAAAACAACCTATGTTGTTAAAACATCTTAAATGCCATATTCTGTAGATCTCTGAAGTGTTTGAAGATGACCTATCTATTTAAAACATATCTCTGTTTGACCTTGAGAATATACATAATGCACCTACAAGTTCAGTTGTAATAGGCGACAAATTACTAACCTGCATTTCATTATTATCCTATGTACTTAGTAATAATAGCTTTCAAGGACTGGAAATTTGCATTACATTGATAAATGATCTGTATAGGTATAATACCTTGAACAATATTAGAAATGTATATATACTATGTTTTAACAAAATTATATCAATATACAATATTTATATATAATATACAAAAGTTCAATCCAATGTAAAATATTTAAAACTAGTAGTTGCTTTCTAAGAGTAGATTCTATAACCTACTTTTTATCTTGTCATATCTATACTTTTTAAAGTAGATTCAATGATCTACCTTTTTATGTCCTCCCTTATTTCTTTTCAGAGTAGATTCAATATCCTATCATATCTGTATCCGCTCTTTTTCTTTTCAAAACAAAAACTCTGAATCTAATCCCCTTGTTCAAGTTTCTGCCTGAATTTAACTAATGATAATTTGTAACCCATCACCCTAAACAATGACAAATATCCATACCCTATTAAATGACCAAACACCACCCACCCCACCTCTTGGGAATGTGGTAGTCATATTCTTAAAGTTACTTCCTGCTGTCTGGGGATGATAGCATCTTTTGGGGAATCCTGAAAAGAAAATTTTGATTTAAGTGTCAAGCTGTATCATGTTTGTCCAGTCTCTGTGTCATGGGGAAGTGCAGGGCTTGTCTCAAGTCCTAGCTAAAGGAGTCTATGAAGCTGGATCATCTCAGCTAACCTCCTCTAAACTGTTCTGAGCAGTGTCAATGAAGCTGGCTCATCTCAGCTGGTCACATCAAAATTGTTATGAGTAGTTTGTAGTTCAAAGCTTATCTTTAGTTGGTGTTCAGCTTATTGGTTTTATAGTAGTCATAGTAGAATTTTCATCTATGGGGTGCCTTCTTCTTTTATTTGTTTGCTTGTGTATCTGTTTTGTTTTTCCAAGACGGGGTTTGTCTATGTTAACAGTCCTGGCTGTCCTGAAACTCACTTTGTAGACCAGACTGGCTTCAGAATCACTGAGATCTGCCTGCCTCTGCCTCCCAAGTGGTAGGACTAAAGGTGTGTACCGCCATTATCCAGCGGGGATTCCATCTTCTTTTTGGCGACTTCAAAAGATTCATTAGGTCATATTATTTCTATTCTTGGTAATTTTTTCTGGGTAGTTCTCCCTTCTTCTTTAGATGTTGACTTGTCCAAAGGTCTTTAAATTTGTCAGTATGGTTGTTTTTATTTTCCTGAAAAGAGAAAAACAAAACCCTTCCCAACCTTAACTTTGGGGAGGTTCCTAATATAATCTTTATCAATTTTGATTTATGGTTTCTCATGAAATTGTTGTTTTAGCTTATAAAGCTATTATCCAGAGCAGTATGGTTTCTTACAATAGGCATTAGGTTTCTTAATTGATCTGGGAAGGAGTTTCCTCCATGATGACAGGAAACAATTAAATCAAATTTGGCATAAAGGCCTGTGAAAAGCTCCTCAAGGCATTTATTGATGGCAGAGTATTACCTTTGATGTCTCTTGTTTACCTATATTCATTTGCCACAGCTTCTGCAAAATATAGAAGGGAGGGACATTCTGTTTGGATTAGGTTTCAAAAAGTATTGTTTGCAGGAATGCCCTGATTACAATCCCTTTTTAAGTGTCCTTGTTTGCCACAATTAATACATTTGACATTTCAATTTTTCTTCAAACTTCTTGAAATAACCTCTCCTATTCATGCATCATCATGGCCATGAGCTTCAATATTAATTGTATATTGGATCCATTCCTTCAAAAGTGCTGACCTTGTCTTTAAAGGCCTAATTATCCTTTTGCATTGAGAATTAGCATTTTCAAAAGACAGAAATTCGACCATTATTTTTCTAGCTTCTGTGTCTGATATTCTATATACTGCTGAAATCAGGCTTTGTAAAAAAATTGGTGTAGGCTTCCTTAGGTACTGTATAACTTCTGTAAATAATTCAATTTTCTTTCCCACTTCTCCAATTCTTTCCTAAGCATTCAAAGCTGCTGCATGGCATAAAGTCAAGAGGTGGTCATCATATGGACTTTGCCTTTCTAAAGTTGCATAATCTCCTTCTCCAAGAAGTTGATCTTGGGAGATTTCTATCCCTCTAGCTTCAGTGCAGAATTCTACCAGAAATTCAAAGACCTAATTGTAATACTCCTCAAAGTGGTCAGCACAATAGAAGCAGGAAGTTCATTGCCAAACTCTTTTTATGAGGCTACAATTACCTTGGTACACAAGCCACACAAAGACACAACTAAGAAAGAGAACTACAGATGAATTTCCTCATGAACATTGATGTAAAAATACTCAAAAAATACTAGGGAATCGATCCCAAGAACACATCAGAAACAGCATTCACCATGATCAAGCAGGCTTCATCCCAAGGATGCAGGGATGGCTCAACATATGAAAATCTATCAGTATAATCCACCATATAAACAAACTGCAAAGGAAAAACCACATGATCGTCTTACTCGATGCTGAAAGTCTTTGACAAAATCCAACACACCTTCATGATAAAGGTCCTGGAGAGATCAGAGATAACAGGAACATACCTGAACATAATAAAAGCAATATACAGTAAACAAACAGCTAACATCAAACTAAATGGAGAGAAACTTAACGCAATTCCTCTAAAATCAGGAACAAGAGACGGCTGTTCACTCTCTCCATATCTCTTCAATATTGTACTTGAAGGACTACCTAGAGCAATAGGACAAAAAAAGGAGATCAAGGGGATGCAAAATGTAAAGGAAGAAGTCAAATTTCACTATTTGTAGATGATATGATAGTTTACATAGTTGACCTGAAAAACTCTACAAGGGAATTCCTACAGCAGATAAACACCTTCAGCAAAGTGGCAGGATACAAGGTTAACTAAAAAAATCAATAGCCCTACTATATACAGATGATAAATGGGCTGAAAAAGAAATCAGAGAAACACCACCCTTTACAATAGTCTCAAACAACATTAAATATCTGGGGATAAAAATAACCAAACAAGTTAAAGACCTGTATAGCATGAACTTTGAGTCCTTAAACAAAGAAATTAAAGACACCAGAAGATGGAAAGATCTCCCATGTTCTTAGATAGGTACGATCAATATAGTAAAAATGGCAATCTTGCCAAAAGCAATCTACAGATTCAATGCAATCCCCATCAAAATACAGGCACAATTCTTCACAGACCTTGAAAGACCAATAATAAATTTTATATGGAAAAACAAAAGACCCAGGATAATCAAAACAACCCTGTAAAATAACGGAACTTCCGGAGGCATCACCATGCCTGACTTCAAGCTCTATTATAGAGCTATAGTCCTGAAAACACTTTGGTATTAGCACAAAAATAGATAGGTAGACCAATGGAATCAAATTGAAAACACTGATATTAACCCACATACCTACAAACACTTAATTTTTGACAAAGAAGCTAAAATTATACAATGGGAAAAAAAGAAAATATCTTCAACAAATGCTACAGGCATAACTAGATATTGGCATGTAGAAGATAGATAGATCAATGTGTATCGCCATGCACAAAACTTAAGTCCAAATGGATCAAAGACCTCAACCTAAATTCAGTCACACTGAACCTCTTAGAAAACTGTGGGAGGTACTCTTGAATGAACTGGTACAGGAGACCGCTTCCTGAACAAAACATCAATAGCACATACATTGAGATTGACAATTAATAAATGGGACCTCCAGAAACTGAAAAGCTTCTGTAAGGCAAAGGACACAGTCAGCAAGACAAAGAGGCAGCCCACAGAATGGGAAAAGACATTCACTAACCCCACATCTGACAGAGGGCTGATATCCAAAATTTAAAAAGAACTCAATAAGCAAGTCTCCAAAACACCAAAGAATCCAATTAAAAAGTGGGCTACAGAACTAAATAGAGAATTTTCAATAGAGGAATCTAAATTGGCTGAGAGACACTTGAGAAAGAGCTCAACATCCTTAGTCATCGGGGAAATGCAAATCAAGACAACTCTGAGATACCCTCTCATTCCTGTCAGAATGACTAAAATCAAAAACACCAATGATAATTTATGGTGGAGAGGATGTGGAAAAAGGGGAACACTCCTCCACTGCTGGTGAGAGTGCCAACTCGTACAACCACTTTGAAAATCAGTATGGAGATTCCTCAGGAAAATGGGAATCAATCTACCACAAGACCCAACAATTCCACTCTTAGGCATATACTCCAAAAGATGCACATTCATACAACAAGGACATCTGTTCCACTATGTTCATAGCAGCATTATATGTAATAGCCAGAACCTGGAAGCAACCTAAATGCCCCTCAACTGAAGAGTGGATAGAGAAAATGTGGTGTATTTACACAATGGAGTACCATTTAGAGGAAAAAACAATGGAAGCTTGAAAATTGCAGGCAAATGGACGGCAGTAAAAGAAACCATTCTGAGTGAGTAACCCTGTCACAAAAAAGAGAAATACAGTAAGTACTCACTCATATATGGATTTTAGGCATGGATCGGGCGAGTGCCAGCCTACAATCCCACTGACAGAAAGTCTGTGAAACAGGAAGGACCCCTAAGAGAGATATGCATGGTACCCCAGAGAAGGGGTATGAGCCAAGATCTCCTGAGCAGATTGGGAGAGTTGGGGGAGGGGAAGGGAGGCCAGAAAAAGAGAGTGCGAGAAGAGGAGAGGCGAGAAGGACATGGGGAAGCAGAAAGGATAAGTCAGGGGTGGGGGAAAGAATAGAGGAGACCAGCATGAGAAATGCCATAATAGAGGGAGCCATTATAGGTTTGAGGAGAGATCTGGCACTAGTGAAATTAGTAGAGATCTACAAGGATGACACCAAGTAGCAAACTAAGCAATAGTGGAGACACTACCTTAAAGGCCCATCCCTGACAATGAATATGACGACTACCTTAATGCCATCCTAGAAACCTCATCCAGTGACTGATGGAAGCAGATGCAGACACCCACAGCTAAACACTGAACTGAACTCCTGGAACCCAGTTGCAGAGAGGGAGGAGTGATGAGCAAAGAGGTCAAGACCTGGCTGGTGAAACCCACAGAAACTGCTGACCTGAACAAGGGGGAGCTCTTGGACTCCACTGATGGCTAGGAGGCCAGCATGGGACTGATTCAGACCCCCTGAATGTGGTCATCAGTGAGGAGGCCTGAACAATATATGGAGCCTTGGGAAGTAGATCAGTATTTATCCCTGGGCATACAAATGGACTTTGTGTGCCCCTCTCACAATAAGGGATGCTCTCTCAACCTGGACTCTTGGGGAAGGGCCTAGGCCCTGCTCTGAATGAAATGACCAATCTTGATATCTCCATGGAGGGCCTCACTCTCCATGGGGAATGGAGTGGGGATTTGCTGGGAGGCTGAAGGGGGCGGGTAGGGAGGTGAGGGAAGAGGGGAGCAAGAGGGAGCTGGGATTGACAGGTAAAGCAAGCTTGTTGCTAATTTAAATTAAAAAACAAAAAGAAAAAAAGAATTCACAATAGTCTTATCAAATTTGACAATGTCCGTGAACTTTGAGGTGTAGCATGTCTGCTCCATGAGCTGAGAGTGGCAGTCAGAGGAGAGGAGCTATAGGAAATATGCCTGCAACCCATGTGGGTGGGGTTAAGAAAGGGGAGAGAGGGAGAGCTAGAGAGACAGAGACAGAGACAGAGAGATCTAAAATGCACACAGGATTGTTAGGAAGAAATGTGTGGTGGGTGCAGCCTAAAGTCAAAATCCAGCAGCTCTAGAATGGATAAGTCATGTAGCATTAGGAGACCAAGTGGGTCTGTAGTTTGGGTGTCAGATGAACACAGTTTAGAGAGACTACAACAGGAGAATCCCAAACTTGCTCAAAGACTTGGAAAAACAAAAGAAAAGAAAACCTAGCCAGTTGTGATGAGAAATACCATTCTGTAAATATGTTTCTCTTATTGGTTGATGAATAAAACACTGTTGGCCAATAGGGAAGCAAGATAGGTGGGACTAGGAGAGAAGGTGGATTCTGGGAAATGTAGTAGGAGGAGCCATGTGATCCTGGAAGGAGAGGACGCATGAGTCTGGCATTCTCAGTAAGATAAGAACTTGTAGAAATACATAGTAGTAGTTATAGGTTAATACTTAAGACAGAACTAGCCAATATGAAGCCCTAGACATTGGCCAACAGCACTGTAACTAATAGAGTCTCTGTGTGTTATTTGGGGGCTGAAGCAGTAAAAGGACCCAGGCATGAATCCATAACACAGTTGGGCATGGACTCTACTGGTAGCCCATCGTGTAGCTCCACCCTGGGTTTCACAGGTAGACAGCTTTTTCATGAATTTGTACCTTAACATTGGACACCAATTGTAGCATGAATAATAAAAACTTAGAGAGAGATATTGGGGTTCAAGTTGGAGATCAGAAAAGCAAAGCAGCCAGAAACTAGCTCTTACCTCTGCCTCAGACGAAAATGAGTGATCCTGTTTCCATGAATCCTCACAGGCAAATGCCCCAAGTTCCTGTCTCCTTCCACCTTATATTCCTTTCTCTGCACAGTCTTATCACCCCTGTCTCCAACTCCCTAGTGTTGGGATTAAAGGTATGTGATCCCAAGCGCTTGGATTAAAGGCATGAACTTTGTTAATATTTTGGGCTGATTCACTCTTGTGTAGCCCAGGTCTTGGACTCACAGAGATCCATCTGCCTCTGTCTCCGAGTCCTGGGATTAAAGGTGTGTACCACCACTGCCTAGCTTCTATGGTTTGCAGCTGTCTTTGTATTCTGAACCCTCAGGCAAGCTTTATTAAATCATAAATAATATATCATCAAATTTGTTTTGAAATTATATTTTATAGCCAGCTTATATAGTATAGTTTTTGATATGACTTTTTCACTCATTCTTAGTTCTAGCTAACTATCCATCCCCCCACTCTAACCTTTCAACTACCATAGCATTAAAGCCATTCCATGCCTAGTATTCTCTCTCCTCTACTTTAATATCACATGTGTTTTACTATTCATCCCCCTAAGGCCTCCTTTTCACTTATGTCTCATGGCTTCTTTCTTCCTTTCTGATCTCTACAAACACTCCAACTTAAACTTAGAAATATAAAAATTTGAAGCTAGAATCTGTACTTGAGAAAAAAAAACATACAGCTTTTAAGTAAGCGTATGATTTTGTGTTTGGGCTATATTCCCAGCTGTCCTAGGACACATATGATCAATGAGCTATGGGTTGGCCATACCTTCTAAAGAGAAAGTAAGTAAAGTAGAATACATAAATTATATAGAAATTAGAAGGTAATAAAACAGCAAGGCAAATCTGGGTGGGGTAGGCAAGGGGATCAGGAATTGAAGGTCATCCTAGTAAGTCTGAGGCCAATCTTCTACTTTATTAAAACAGAGAAAGTATGCTGGAGTTGGACTTTTAACCATCTTGGTTAGGGCAGAACTCACTGAGAAAGATGACAAATAGAAGAGACAGAGGATCAAAACAGAAGTTACTCATGAGAATATCTGAGGTAAAGCAAGTTTTAGATGACCACTAGTGCCAAGGCTCTAAGTTCTGGTCATTTGT